TGGAATTGGTTAAAACCTCTCTCCGAGGATCATTTAGCACTATGTGTCAGAATCTCTGAAAAACATTCATTGACTACACAATTTCATCTCCAGAAATCTTTCCTAAGAAAAGAATTAGACAAGTTGCTTTAAAACAAGCATGTAAAAGGATATTTATTGTGGCAATGTTTTTAATAGGGGAAAAGGAATGACTATCACAGGGAAATGGCTAAACCAGTTATAGCATATCTGTACAGTGGAATGTGCCACAAATGTAAAAAAAAAAAAGAAAGAAAGAGAGAGAGGGAGGGAGGGAGGCAGGAAAGAAAGAAGGAAGGAAGGAAAAGGAAGGAAGGAAGGAAGGAAGGAAGGAAGGAAGGAAAAATGATGCTATAGATTGTGTTTAATTGGCATGGAAGGATGTTCACAAGGTACTATGTTTTAGATACAGGTTTATAGTGCATGGAATATGGTCCCATTAAAGTCATATGCCAAGGTCAAAGAGAATTTGGGGTTCCCCATAAGTTCCCCCAATTCCTGGAAAGCGGCCATTTGCACTCATTGCTCAGTGAACCTCCTGCCAGGAGTTAGGGGAAGTGGGTCACCATGCTCAGAGCCTCCATCTGCCAGATCCCAGTGAGCCTATAAAACATGCAGAGTTGTTTATATCTGAAGGCAGCCCCTGCCTGGGTCTGGAGCTCTTGGCCACTCTCAGCAATCACAATAAATGCTGCTGACAGTAACAGTAATCACCCTCTCATGCAGAGTATCCACTTCACAGCCATTAGCTATAACTCCTAGAAACCTCCTATGGAGTTGTTATTATCCCCATTTTATATATGAGGACCCTCAAGGCTCAGAGAGCTGAAGAAACTGGCCCAAGATCACACAGAGGCAGCCCCTGCTCTGGAATCCGGGCCTGGCCACCATTCTCTGCATATCTTAAACCATCCAGCTTTGATCACATGGCCTTAGAAAGCCTGGCATGAGCCTGTGGAAGGAGGAGGTCTGTTACCAAAATGTATGTACTTCTCAAACTTAGCTACACATTAGAATCACCTGGGAAGTTTTTTCCTCTTTTTAATCCCCATAACTGGGTTCCACTCCAGTCCAATGTAAGTAGAATCTCTAGGATGCGACCCAGGCATCCATATTTTTAAAGCTCCCTACGTGATTACAGAGTGCACCAAGTTTGAGAGCTCATGGTCAAAAACAGCACTTGAACTTTAAATCCTAGGAATCTGGTCAAAACATAGACTCTAAGTCAGCAGGTCTGGGGCCTTACAAGATTCTGCATTTCCAAAGAGCTTCCAGGTGATGCTGTAGGTCCCTGAAAAACCTTTTATCGTTTCCCCGAAGGGCACTCCCCAAGAGCCTCTCCTGTCTTTTTTTTTCCTGAGTCCTAGCTCCACCTGATCACTGCCATCTCGCCACCAAAACAGCTGGGAGCCTGGACAAAGTGAGGTGCTGGGCTTTTCCTGAGCTGCCTTCTCTAGAAATGAGTGTCGGCACTCATGGGTGTCAGACCCACCCTGGTGCACCCCGGCAGTGCTGGGGAAGATCAGAAGTGGGGGTCCAAGGGAGGCGCTACCCGGGCCCCACCTGTAGGGGCTCTCAGGGAAAGTGTGCAGGCTGTGCTGCTGAGTGAGGGCTCTAAGCACAGCTGTGTGTGTCTGAGGCTGGGTAGGGAAGGCTCCTGGAAGTAAGCAGAGCAGCACAGGACAGGCAGGACGTGGCGCACGGAAGGTCAAAGGCTCAAACATTCGTTCATGTATTCAACAGATACTAGTGGACCACCTATGGGCTGGGCATCGTTCCAGGTACAGTAGGGAAAGGTCCCTGCCATCACACAGCCTATCTTCTAAACAGACGAGGCTCGATAAACAAATAGCTGTTAGATGGTGGTGTGAGGCAGAGGAAAATGAAGCAAGGATGGGAAATAAGGAATTTGGTGGGAGGGAGGCACATTTTAAGTTACCAGGACACCCATGGATCAGGTGGCTCTGAAGGGAGTGAGTTATGCGGCTGGGGAGAGGCATGACCCAGGGAAAGGGAGCAGCAAGTGCAAAGGCCCCGAGGAGGGGACAGCAAGGAACAGGCGTGGCTGGAACAGGAGAGCAACAGGCAATAGGGCGGGGGTTGGAAAATGTATGGAAACAGGTTTGGGTGCTGGGGAGAGAAGCAGATCTCAAGGCTGTCTCTCTCTGTGTGAGGAATGCAAACTGAGGCTGGAGGATTTCAGGGTCCCTCCCTTTCCCAAGACCCGGCTGATGGAGGAGCAGTTCCCTCTGGGCACAAGCACTAAAGGGACCCCTGAAGTCAGGAGGGCTGGGCTGGTGGGTGGTGCCCTGTGTGGCAGTGCTGAGAAGCCCGCCCACCTGCCCTCCTGGTGCCTACCCCTGAGCCAACAGCATCCCGCTGCCCTCCAGCCCACCTCCACAGGGCCTCTTCTGAGCTGATGGGGAGAGGATGGCACTGGGGTGGCCAGCAAATGCCTCTCTTTCTAGCACAGAGCTCCGTCAGGGCAGGTGCCCAGACCAGAGTGACCTCCCCACCTGATTGCCAACCCCGGTGAGGTGCCTCGGCAATGCCCGTCTCTGACCCCCACCTCCTCACAACTGCTGCAGGCCTGACACTGTTCTCAGGGGTCCTCTGGCCCTCTGGCTTTAGCCCTCCCCTCCAAAAGACCCTGAGTGCCTCCTCACTGCCCTCAGGACAGCCCCTCAGCTCCTCAGCATGGTCAAGAGGCCCTGCATACAGGACCCCGACTTCCTGCCATCCACACCGTCACAGAACATTCTCTCCTCAGTTGGCACACTGCAGGGCAGCTGGCACGGCTCTCTGGTCCTCTGCACCTTGGGATCCTTGACCACAGGGTTCTGCCAGCCAAGGCTGGGCAGCTTGGGACTCCTAAGTCCAGGCAAAGTTCAGCCTCTGCCCACTCAGGAATGTTTCTGGAAGAGAAAGGAGGTTTCCCTAAATTCTGGAGAGCAGCACTGGGTTCCTCTCCTCATTCTCAAACCTAATAGCTACGTGACCCCAGACAAGTTACTTAACCTCTCAGTGCCTCAGTTTCCTTACCTGTAAACTACAGGCAATGATACTTCCTAATGGGGTTGTTGGATGAATCAAAAGAAACCACATGTGCAGAGTGTTGTGACCAGCACTTGGCACGTAGCCCTCGGGAGGCAGTGGCTGCGGATTATCACAGTGGGCAGAGTCCAGTAGGTGGATGAGGAGGAAGGGCCTCCTGAGGGGCAGGAACAGCAAGGACAGAGACTCTGGGTCAGGGAGCCATGAGCGTCATGGTGATGCGTGGATTCGGCATGTGTTGGGTGAAAGCCCTTCCTGTGGACACACAGATCAGAAGTCTAGCGCTAGGTCATGTCACTGTCCACCGCAGGTGCCCCCTAGAGCTGTGAGTCTCTGTGGAGCCTGCAAAGGGCCCAGGCCCTTCCCGACGGCCAAGCTGTGTGCCTGGTGTGCTTGGTGAGCAGCTGCAAGGGCTGGGGGAGCAGGCTGGAGAAGAGAGCTGTCCCCAAGGGCTGGGCCATGGCCAAGCAAACCCCCACTGGGAGCCTGGGCGCAGTCAGAGCTGGCAGGCCTGGAGGGAGCCCCTGCCACAGCGAGAGTCAGGAGGCAGGTGCCCCTGCTGGCCAGGGGTCTTTCCATCCTGAACAATGCCTGCTCCCTCCTCAGGTCTTCACAGGGATTTTCACAGCAGAGATGACCTTCAAGATCATTGCCCTCGACCCCTACTACTACTT